TTTATTTACTCAAAAAAGATGTTTGTGGCGGTGGGGCACATGGAAGATTTCTCAGGTGCCGTTTGACGTCACTAACTGCTGTCGTCAGTAACTGCTGCGTCTGAAGAAACAGACAATTTTAACATTTTTTCCTTATTAAATTAAACTGTCATAACCTAACCAAACTAACCAAACGTGCTGATAATGAAAAAATCGAATGAAGTTTTACTAATCTAAAAAATAGTTTTGTTCATAAAACAAAATTATAAATTCCTAAAATTCAATTTTATAATTTTTTATTATAAAATTAAACTGTCATAACCTAACCAAACCAACCAAACTTGCTGATATGAAAAAAATATTGACAAAAAGTAAATGCTACTAGGGGAGTTCGAACCCGGTACATTCGGATTATCAGCCTGACACGCCATCCACTACACCATCGAGGCCAATGTCTACAAACCATGTCGTTGCGGTAATGGTGTTCCATCAAAGTGACGTCAACAGTTGTAACGTCAAACCGCACCTGAGAAATCTTCCGTGTGCCGTTTTGATGTTTGTGGCGCTTTATATAGATTGAGGAGGGTTATGTTTGGTTTTAAAGGAAGGTTGTATACGTTTTGTAAAGTATTGCTCAAAGTTTCATTTTGTAATTTATATAGTAAGCTACATGTAAAGAGGCTTGACTAAAATTGAAGAATTATGACAAAACATGTCATTCATGAAGCATCAATATGAAGCAATGATGCTATTGCTACACTAAGGTATGCTGTCATATCCTTTTGGATCTATTAACATTAAAAGTAGGGGTTTGATGGTAATTAGGTTTACACTTTTAAATCAGTTTATATTTTCAAAATAAATCATAGAGTTGCTATATTTTAAAACATAAATCAGCACCACTTTAATAGCTCTCTAGGTCACATTTTCTTCCCATTGCAAAGCACGGGTATAGCAGCTTGTTCAAAATAATTTGTCTGACAGAGTTACAACTACAAGATGCACCCAAATCAGTTTAATAGTCAATGATTTAAAGGTTATTGAAAAGCATTAACAAAATTATATTAGATTTATTGTTGTATTGTCCTTTAGCAGCAATAAAGATGTTTATAGTGTTGGAGCGTGGATAATTGATATATTAAATAGTAGCTTGTAGATTCATATAAACAGATTGATAGTGCTTGATAGACATAAATAAACGACCAAACAAAGGTTTTAAGCTCAATGAAAATTGAAAAGCCAATTAAAATTTGAAAGCTTAATTTAATGGCACTTTTCACTTTAAGTAATACTATAGGACCTGCTAAAGATATAATTAATTGGTCTTGAAAAGTTTTCTTTCATTTTGGTATGCTCAAAGCTTGTTTCATTTTATAAAAAAGAAACAGCTTGAAAGAATAATATCACTCATTTTAAGTATTTCTAGGAAGTACTGTGTAGATAGCCCATCAAAAAAAATTGCTTCTTTCATGTCAAATCCCTATTGGTTAAGTTACAAACACTTAACTTTTCTACCACAAATTACTTTATAGAAATTCCTACCTAAAAACTCAAAACAAACTAGTGTTTTACTTTCCCTCCTTATAACGTAGTATGGAGAAAGTATTGTTTTCTCAAAATTTTCAAGTTTGAGTGGATATATCCATTTGAGTCCCCCTGGATCCAAAAAGTGGTTTTTGAAGTGATGTCTGTGTGTCTCTGTGTGTGTGTGCGTCTGGATGTGTACAGAGCTAGAGGCTACACCTGTGGTCCTTGGTGTGTAGGTTCTAATTAATGGTATCTCCAGGTGTTTTTTCATTTTTCTGAAATTTTTATGTTTAATAGAGATTTTCCCATAAAACCCCCATAAAATAACAAAAAATAGGATTTAAGAAAAAAATCCACTTTTGATTTAACTTAGTATGTTATGGTTCTTAAAATTTTGATCTTTTAAAAATCCCTTTGGAATTTTGATTTTTAATGGGGATTTTCCCATAAAACCCAATAAAATTAACGGAAAATCAGATTTTTGGAGAAAAGCTGGTTTTGATCAAAATTAACATGTTATAATTCTAAAGAAAGTAGTACAGAACCCCATTGCTGTATCAATTACAGTTAAAAAGTAATTGCAGCTTTTATGGTTTTATCTTATTTACTCTCACCGCTTATGATAAAAGTTATTGACAGGCTTATGGGAGAAAGTATGTGTCAGGATGCTGATACCGTTTATTTAATCATAAGTAAACAATTTACTTTTTTGCATAATAGCTAAGTTAATGAGTCAATAATTCAGTAGGCTACTGTCATATTCACTTGATAAGCATTGTTGATTTTTGACCAAGTGTGATTTTTATATTGTAAAAAACTAGAAAGAGGAGTCAATGAAATGTAGTTGTCTCTTGAGTCAATCGGGTCCAATATGAATCACAAATTGTTGATATTTATATGCATACACTGTGAATGCAATACTCACTGGTGAATTAACGCCCAAACTAGTGAGTACTACAATACGCAGTACTATCCTGATAATTCAAATTCAAATCTAACAAAAAGTACATAGAGTTCAAAGTTCAATATGTGTACAGATCAAGACAATAATTGTCTTCCTCCACTGTCAATTATTGACAGTGGAGGAATAGAGGAATGCCCCAGGGCTCTGTCCTGGGCCCTTTACTTTTTATCCTTTATACAAATGACTTTACTGGTTTTATAAATGACATCAACATCAAAACCATTATGTACGTAGATGACACAACACTTCTGTTTATAAATGACACAGCAAAAGCCCTATATTCAGTTATTCCATTATGAGGAGAAAGAGCTTGTTGAAGGATTTCCAAGCCAGTTTTGAGGTCATTTAGGTCGTGATTATTGTCCATTAGATGTTGGGCAAATGTAGACTTTTGTTTGTCAGCTTTCGGTTTCGGATGATGCTCCTTACATTTAGTTTTGAAAGTGCGCCCCGTTTTTCCTACATAAACACTAGGACAACTAGCACATTTAATTCTGTATACCCCTGAAATTTACAAAGCACATACAAAAAATGACAATAGCGAACTTATTTTAAATGACAAACTACAATTCAAATCACACATAATTTTCAATAGTATTTTAAGTCAGAGGAAGGATTCAAGACCAAGAGGGCAAAGTACAAATGATAATGCCGCCACTGACACGACACCGCAAGAATGACTCCAGTTAGCTACTTGCTCTTGTGCGGATATGTGTAATCAACAGGCCTGTTTAGTCAAAAAACCCCGTTTATGTTTATGTATGTGTGACAGTTTGTGTTTTAGCGAATTTCCCATATAGGGAATAAGCTATTACCGTAGTACTCATGGTAAGACCTGTAAGCGGGACCGATTTTTTTTCGTTTTGAGGTCCCTAGAGGCCAGAAACACCATTCGTTCAAATTCATATATATATATATATATATATATATATATATATATTTATATATATAGGTATATATATATATATATACTAGCAGAGTACCCATCCTTCGTACGGGGTTGGAATATAAGTATAAAATGCTTATTGCAGTTATACTCAAGCTTTGCGTTTTGCAATAAGAGAGGACACAGTTTGATAAAATTTGCTAAACTAAAATTTGATTTTCACCTAAACAATAGAGAAAAATAAATTATCAACAATTCGCTAAACATCACAAATCATTCATGAAATGAAAAACATAAACATAACTGTAAACAATCCTACTTTGACAGTTCTCATTGCGAATCACAGTTTTTTGTTGCTGCTTAGTTCAAAATAGCTGTTTTCATAAATGCAAGAAAAATATAGTGCTGCACCCTGTATGTAAATATTATAACTTTTTAATGCTTTTCCATATCATAGAACCAACTTTTTTAGTTGAAACAGCTGACTAAATTCTTTAATTCCCTTTAACTATGAATACTCATAAGGTTAACATGGGGAATTACCGAGCCACTGGGGCGGAGCCCGAATGGATTTTTGAGATAAGAATATGCCTATATGTTAATCGGGAATGTAAGCTATCATCATGCCAAATTTCAGCCCAATCCGTCCAGTGGTTTATGCGTGATTGAACTTCAAACACACAAACAAACACACAAACTTTCACATTTATAATATTAGTAAGATATATGTGTGTCCGTTAGCACGATAACTCAAGCAAAATTGATCCGATTTTGATGAAATTTGGTACAAACGTGTAAACCTACGTTTATTCGAACGATTTTGCGATCCAGCATGATCGGGTCATGGGAACGGGGGTTTATGGGGGGTTTTATGGGGTAAAAATAGGTTTTTCCCATTTTTGACCCAAAAAACATAAAATTTTGCAATTTCTTTCCAAACCATTTTGTAGAGCTTAAAAAAACAAATAATTTAGTATATTGAAGCGTTATTATGCGCCTAATGGTTACGGAGAAAATTCCAAAAAATTGTAAATTTAAAATTCCCATGTTATTCTTATGGAGAATAAGTAAACTGTTGTAGTTTGCTTGTTTATGAACATATTTTGATCAAATTTGGAAAATGTTTTTATTTCTTACTAACTATTAACATTTTACAAAAAAAAATAGTTTTACCCTCCCTGATGCAGCAAACCTAAGTACTTGTTAAACTAATTCTATTTAAATCGGGAATAAAAGTTATATTTTTAAGTAGACATTTCAGTGTACATCCAATCAGTCAAATGGAAATTCGCTTAGTCTGCAGGTTTGCTGCGGCGGGGGTATTTGTATATTAACGACGCCACTAAGGCTGAACGTCTGATGATGGCATGGATATGCTGAAACGGCCGTAACAATGTTTAACTTCTATGAGCTGATTGACGAAGGTAACCTTCTTTATTGATTTAGTCACAAGATCAGCTCAGGGGTTAAAAAATATGGATTTTAATAATTATAAGTTACCAAAGAGGAGTAGAATTCCCTATAAAAAGAAGGATCCATTCCAAAAGGCTGTGATATATATATATATATTTTAAACCCAAAGACAAAAAAACTGTTTAATTAGAATTAAGGGTAGGTTTAAGAATATACCTTTGATTAGCTTTATTCGCTTTTTGGATTTAAAGGATTTTTACATAGACACTTGTAAGGTCTTTCGCCGTTATGTTGGTGTCTTCATATTGTCTTTTGATGCATCCACATTTAATACACTTGGTGTCGCTCCTGTAAGAACCAAGGTATGTCTCATAATATTGTCTTTGGATGCAGATTTTTCAAATGTTTTGCACTCATAGGATCCCTCTTCTGTATGCAGCAATGTATGTCTCTTAATATTGTCTTTGGATGCAAAAGATAGTTCACAAGTATATAGGGTTTAGGGTATAGGGGTTATAGGGTTTCTCTTCTGCATGAACCATTGCAATATGTTTTTGCATATAGTATTTTCTTGTGAAGGATTTTTCACATGTAGAGCACTTGTAAGGTCTCTCTCCTGTATGCACCAATGTATGTCTCTTCATGGCAGTTTTAGACGCAAAGGATTGTTCATATGAATTGCAATCATACTCATAGTATGAACCAATGGATGTTTCTTCATTTCGCTTCTGGTTATAAAGGATTTTTCACATGTAGAGCTCTTATAAGGTATATCTCCTGTATGAACCAACGTAAGTCTCATCATATTGTCTTTGGATGCAGAAGATTTTTCAAATGTTTTGCACTTATAGGATCCCTCTTCTGTATGCAGCAATGAATGTCTCTTCATATTGTCTTTGGATGCAAAAGATAGTTCACAAGTATTGCACTAATAGGGTTTCTCTTCTGTATGAACCATTGCAATATGTTTTTTCATATAGCATTTTCTTGTGAAGGATTTTTCACATGTAGAGCACTTGTAAGGTCTCTCTCCTGTATGAATCAATGTATGTCTCTTCATGGCAGTTTTAGACGCAAAGGATTGTTCACATGAATTGCAATTATACGGCCTCTCTTCTGTATGAACCAATGAATGTCTTTTCATTTCACGTTTGGTTTTGAATGATTTCCCACATGAACTGCACTTGTAAGGTCTCTCTTCTGTATGAACCAATGAATGACTTTTCATTTCACCTTTGGTTTTGAATGATTTCCCGCATGAAGTGCACTTGTAAGGTCTCTCTCCCGTATGAAGCAATGTATGTCTCTTCATATTGTCTTTGGATGCAAAAGATTTTTCACATGTATTGCACTTAAACTCTTCTGTATGCAGCAATGAATGTCTCTTCATATTGTCTTTGGATGCAAAAGATAGTTCACAAGTATTGCACTTATAGGGTTTCTCTTCTGCATGAACCATTGCAATATGTTTTTGCATACAGTATTTTCTTATGAAGGATTTTTCACATGTAGAGCACTTGTAAGGTCTCTCTCCTGTATGAATCAATGTATGTCTCTTCATGGCAGTTTTAGACGCAAAGGATTGTTCACATGAATTGCAATTATACGGCCTCTCTTCTGTATGAACCAATGAATGTCTTTTCATTTCACCTTTGGTTTTAAATGATTTCCCACATGAACTGCACTTGTAAGGTCTCTCTCCTGTATGAACTAATGTATGTGTCTTCAAAAAGGAGTTACTAGAAAAGGACTTTCCACATGTAGAGCATTTGTAAGGTCTCTCTCCTGTATGAACTTTTGTAATATGCCTTTTCATAGCGCCTTTGGTTTGAAAGGATTTTTCACATGTAGAGCACTTGTAAGGTCTCTCTCCTGTATGAACTAATGTATGCCTCTTCAAAAAGGAGTTAGTAGAAAAGGACTTTCCACATGTAGAGCATTTGTAAGGTCTCTCTCCTGTATGAACTTTTGTAATATGTCTTTTCATAGCGCCTTTGGTTTGAAACGATTTTTCACATGTAGAGCACTTGTAAGGTCTCTCTCCTGTATGAACTAATGTATGTATCTTCATATCGCATTTGGATGAATACGATTTTTCACATGTAGTGCACTTATAATGACACTCCCCAAGATGTATCAACACGTGTCTTTTTACATGGTGTTGTTGGAAAAAGGCTTTTTCACATGTCAAACATTTAAAGGGACGCTCTCCTGTGTGATATAATATATGTAGCTTCATCACGGATAGAGTTGATCTAGTTTGCTTACATATTGGACACTTGAGAAGAACATCTTTAGGGCAAGTTAACATTGTTCCTTTTGCAATTTTATCCCTTTGAAACTTGTCACATAAGCTAGTAACTATTTAGAAACTCAACAAATCAGAGGGATTTGTTCGTATTTAACTAGAAACCTTGTTTGATGGCCTTCTTAAGTGGCTAGTAGTTACATGATAGGCTACCTCTCTCGAACTCAACATTGAATCACCTCATAGTCAAATCTTGCAATGCACATTAGGTATTTAACAATATACTTGAGGGATTTTCCTTTTTCTCTTGTTTTTCCCTTATTCTTCTATTGTATTTTCAACCTATAACAAAAAAGTTTACTTAAACTCAAATTCTACTTAAACAAAACTAAATTGCTGAATTTAATTTGTGTAGGGGAAACATAAGATTTAGAGTGGTTCTTGAAAGTATTAAATCGGCGGTTATATCAATTAATTTTTTTTTAAGTGGTTAAACTATATTCTCCTCTAAAAAAAACATTTTTATTACAAACCATAGACAGACATTTGATTGCTGAAATAATAACTTTGTAATATAAGATGGTAAGTCTAGGTTTTCCGCTCAGCTTGAGTTCTGTGAAATTTGGGAATCCTCTAGGCAGCGTTAAGGCTGTAGATAACGCTATATGCTATTAGGTGTGTCCGCTATATAATGTATATTCTTAATAGTTTTACCGTCTTCATGTTCACATGACCATGTAATGTGTGTTTCTGATCATGGTTCATCAAGGGATTGTTTCGCTGTTTGGGTTAAATATGGCTTTAAGCTATGTTTCCACAGGATGCGGAATCTCCGCCGTGCGGTGTGATTTTTTCCGCTGCGGAATTAAAACGACACTGGTTTAATGGAGTTCCCATGTGTGCGGTTCCACTGACTTGCGATTCCGCATCCCGAATTTTCGGTTCCGCATTGCGGAGAAATCATACTGGTCTGAGAGCAGTAGTAGTGCGGATTCCGCCAGCGGAGAAGAGCCATCACATATTGTCACCGTGCAGTTTCATTATGTCTTATGCTGTAAAAAGAGTAATACTGTATATATTTGAACGTTATGGACTCTGAAACCACTCGACAGATTGTAATGAAACTCTCAGGCATTATTAATCATTATTTAAGGATGGCTTGTGTGAAGTTTGGTGCAGATTCGTCAAAAGGGCTCCGCCCCAGTGGCTCTGGAGTTTCCCATGTTAACCTTATGAGTACTCATATTTAAATGGAATTCAAGAATCTTAACAGCTGTTCCAACTAAACATTTTGATTCTGTGATGATCAATAGTATTAAAAGGTTACAAAATGTACCAACAGGGTGCAGCACTATTAATTGTCTAAATGTAAACTCGAGAACGAGTGCACCGAATTGAATGATTCATTTTTTGCTGTGTTCCTTAGTGCCAAGGGAAGGATTTTATGTAAGGAAATTTATATTCCATCCAACCTTTATTGAGTAATTTGATTTATTTTTTTTTCTAATGTCCTTTACATTAGCATTGGAGGAAAATGTTTTCATAAACTGTGGGATACAATAACAACCAAAACCTGAAGGCGAGTGAGCGCAGCGAACGAGCTCCAACCAGCGAGCAAGGAATACCACCGAAAGGTGAGTGAGCGTAGCGAACAAACTTAAACCAGGACAAAGATTGAGTGATGCAAACTAGCTCATCTTGAAAATGAACGAGCATTTGACATAAAACCACATTAGGACAGGACGTCTGTCGGGCCAGCTAGTATGTAAGAAAAAACTATCATCAGAATTAAACACAATCATAAATCCTATTTTAATAAACTCTAAACAAAAACAATCAACTGTAAACAAAAGTATTTTAAACATGTGATTTTGATACATTAAGCAACATTAATTAACACATGATTTTAGACTGCAGATTTCTGTTAAACTAGGTTGCACAGCTTGAAAATCAATAAACGGTCTTGGTAATCTGTGAGACATGTTTGACCTTTCCCACCCAAATGAGTTTTGACCTTGTAATATGTATTTACAACAACAATCTTAGTGGATCTTGGAATAAAAACGGTGAATGAAATGGTTTGAAAACACTCCAAAATAAAGGCAATTAATTTTTTAAGATACTTAAAAATAAAACTAAATGAATAAACCGAATAAAGTATTTTTTGTATGTTTTAAAATATTCAAAATTATTTTATGATACAAAAATACATTTTAGTTAGAAGATTTTACTTAGCGAAACACAACGGCGAAAACCCGACTCTAATAGCACGTTTTGTTCTAAAGTTAAGATTTTTCTAAGTCTAAATTAAATCAATGACATTCCATGGTAGAGATAAATTTAAATACTCAAGGACTATTTCCCGAATGAATGGCGTTCGGCGATAAGGGACCTTTAAACCGATAAGATAACGGAGCACCTCATTCATGCTATCTCTTTAAATGTTTAAAAACCTACCTCACTTATTGTTGCTATTTTATCAACATTCGCAATGCCGTCATTTTTGACTCCGTTGTCCGTTTGAGGTCGGGTTTGTGGCATTGTATTGTTCTAAATAAGACCTTTAATTTGAAGTGCAGATACCTGAAGAGGTACCAGAACAAACATTTTTTTTATCATCACTGAATAGTGTTTCAAAATAATATTTTGTAACCACTGAATTTGTCTACCCATGCTGCTCCACAGCGTTGAAATAAATATCATATCCGAGAAATAATCAAATTTAAGATTTTTGATTAGCGGTCACGTATCACTAAAACTACCATATCTCAGTTAATACTTGTTCAATCTTCTTTTGGTAGCTTTGTCTAGTTGTCATAAATGTTTGTGCAAAGTTTCAATTTCGTATGTTTAACCATTCCTTATAAAAAATTAATAACTTAAAAAAACAAAATGGCGGCTGTGTGAGTAACTAAGGACTTCCGGACAATTTAAATATGATATTTAGGTATGTTAAGTACCCTGGAACAATGCCCTAAAATATTGGTAGAGAGTTCCGGGACACCCTATAGATCAACGATTATAAAGTAGCACCTATAATCGCAACAACGATTTTCATCAAACTAACTGTTAAAATAAATTATCATACTAATACATTTAACATAAACTGTCGAAAATGGTAGACCTGACGAACAATTATCCTGAGATGTTTGGGTATCAAGTGTTAAATGGGATCTCGTGATTGAAACCCCTTAAGTTGTGTTAAATAAATAGCAAAAATAGGCCCCTTCACTGTTTCGATTCTTAAATATGTCACTTCGATCACTGTGACTTGACACTAACAAAGATAAAAGATCGACAACATCATCACCAATGTCATCATATAGCATCAAAGCCAAAAGGGCTTTCCTCTTTCTATCCATACTCGTCGCTAGTTTGGACAGAACTGAATCTCCGCAACGTTATTTTCGCAGTCTGTAGAACCACCCCTCTAGATTTTTCGCTGTGTAATTTTCCGCTGCGAAAAATTACGCACCGCATGGCGGATATTCGGCATCCTGTGGAACCATAGCTTTATGGCACTTTGCCTGGAAAATCACCAAAATTCCATAGGTTTTTGTGGATGATATAAAACGAGTGTAAAATACATACTACTAAGTAATTCATATAATTTATTGTTCAATGAAGGGTTACGGGGAGAATTGTAAAAACCGGGTTCACATGTTATTTTAACAAAACAACGGTTATTGCTCTACTTAATATGAAACTAGGTATACAAGAGTTATACATATCAAATATGATGAAATTCACAAAGCATACATAGGGGTTGCGGCATTATCATTTATAAAAAAATCTAAATGCATTGGTGATTTGGCGGGATTTGAGGAACCCGGACCCTCAGCGACCAAAAAAAATTTTAATCAACTACTGAATGATACTCCAAAATGATTGGATATAAGGGAGTTAACACATAAACAAATATTTAAATTGCAAAAGTCTGCATAAATAAGAATTATTTTCAAATTAAAACCACGCCAATCCTGTAAAAAAATATTTAAAAATTACCAATTTATGACTTTTTACTCAATTTATATTTATGAAACATTACTATTTTTAAAGAACAATTGTGAGGAATTCTGGAAAAATGGTGAATTATGTGAGAAGAATTATGATGTGAGAAAAATACAAACATTTTCTTCTACTTTCCACCAAACAAGGTTTTATGAAAAACATGTTTATTACAACAGAAGAAAATTATTTCAAACTACCAACTGATATTCAAAATCTAAAATTAAAAGAATACAAAAGAAAATTAAAACAAATCCTTACTGAAAATCCAATCTACTCTATTGAAGACTTCAATGAAAAATGCATCAACATTTAAAGAGTTTTATTTAATAGCATACCTAATTGTACTGTCGATACAATTTATATTGTCAAGACAATAAAGTATTTATTTTATTTATTTATAATATAATAAACTTCACAAATCATCATAGATCATGAGAATGGGCTTACACATGAGGGTAAAGTCATCATTGGGTAAAGTATAAAATTTTAAAATTTTATATTCTAAAAACCTGAAAATTACATGGGTTAGTGAATCTGTTTGAAAAGAGCTAAAGAACATAAACAAAGTAGCACTGTATATCGCCATAGACAAAAATATCGCATATTTTATCCCTCAATAAAGGATTACATAGGTATCGGTAAAAAAAGTACCCAATGAAATTGAAAGTGACTACTTTTAATGAAAATCCACTTTTAATATGATTATATAGTAAGAGAGTGATCACGTATGTATCCATAATATTATGATGAGTGTAACAAGTAATTCTGGCCAGACTACAAACATAAACAAAAACATGCTTTTTACAAGGTGTTGTATGGCGTAATATTTGATTTCTTTGCCATTTCAGATTCTGAAACCTTCAAAATTCCATGGGCTTAGTGCACGTGGTAAAAATAGCTTTAAAAGCAAACTAAGTTGGTTATGGCATCTGTTATTCCATGATGAAGAGTCACAGAGGTAGGCTATAGGTAAAAATTGTATCCCATGATATTTTAACCCAGCATGAAAAGAAAAGTGTAAACATCCTGGCCATATCATCAAAAAAGGCTTTCATAGAGAGTTGTGGTGCAAATCTGAGTGTTTTTGTATTTGTTAACTCTGAAAACCTCCAATTACACATACCTTCATGCTACAATACGTGTTGGAAACTTATAAATATATTGTAGAAAAAAACTATTTGTTTGAATAAGGGTTATAGAGAAATTTGC